GAAAAATATGACAAATGTTTGTGTAAAATGCTCTTGAAATAGATACAGCATCTCTATAAAATTAACATCAATTTAAAGTTGAAATGTGCCTAATTTTTATGTTTTCTTGCATTTACCATGATGCTTTCTCACCAATCATTTGGTTCAAGAGAAATTCCTCTATAAGCATAAAATATTCAGATCAATTTCACAGTTATGCTACTCTTTCAAGAGAAAAATAAACAAATTCCAGATACACTAAAAAATGATTAATTTTAATACATAATTACTGTATCATTGATAGATGTTTAAAAGAGTAAGCAAATCTACAATAAAATACAAAAATGTTCCAGCAGTTTAAGAAACCTCATAACTTAGCAAAGAAAAAGCTAATAACAGACTATTTAAAATGACAGATGAATATCAAAAGCACTTTTAAGCATAACAGATCAAATTTTATTGAATATTTTGCCCATTTTTTACTACAATATTACCCTAGTCATGTTTTTATCACATAAAACACTCAAACAGTTTTCAGCAAGGCCCAAGAAAAAATGTTTTTATCTCTAGAATTGGGGGGGGGGAGACATGCTGTTGCTGAGATATTGCACGTTTCAAATCTTACTGTAAACGCTTTAAGAACTGCAGAACAATACTGAGCAATTATCTTTTCCCCTTTCAATATAGCTCTCAATTTCCCCCCTCCCAACCTGACAGACTTTAGAGAGTACTGAAGTCCTAGTCTTAAGTATTCAAGATTAGATTTTTAAACTGCATCTAAACAAAGCTGAGTTTGTGTGAAAAAAAAAATATAGTTTCCATTCAATTTCATTTCCACTTCATATTTTGTGAATATTTATTTTTAATGTAGAAATATACTTTTTTTATTTATTAAAAAATATGGATATTCTCCCAAATTTAGTTTACGATGAAATTGTTATGCATAAGTTCAATCATGAATTAAGAATTTGGGCAAAAATAAATAAATAAACAGATTTTTAAAGCACACTTGAATTATTAATAAAAAGAAATGGAGGGAGAACGAAATAAAACAATGGCTTTGATAATTATATGAACACAGCTTTTATCAGTGGATCCAGAGGTTTAATTCTTATTCTTGACCAAGCAGAATTTTTATAACAGCACTTGATTGCATTCTACTAGTTTCACCAAGTATTTTACTGACACTGCATGTAAGACACAAAAAACACACAGGTTAACAGACTACATATTTTTAAAGAAAAGCTTATTAAAATATATACTTGTAAATCAAGAGATCATAATTTTTTACCTCCAGTTTCATATAGTAAAAAGATATATTCACTTTTAGCTAACACTTAAATTTTAAACACACACACACACACATTTAAACACATTTAAAAAAAAAAAAAAAAAAAAAAAAAAACAATTTAACAATCAATATGATCATTTTAAAACAGCTGATACATTTATACTGTGATAACTGTCATTCTGAAACAATATACTCTTTAATGTTATAAAAGTCTACTTTACACATGCATTTCTGGCAATGTTTCGAGCTTATACTTCTTTCCATTTTTAAACAGGAAAAACATTTAAAAACTCTATTCATTTATAGCAAATTATGATTAAAAACTGAACCCTCTTAAGCTTTAACAGCTATTTTAAAAAAATTGTTTTTAGTTTATGATTTTTTTTTTTTATTTGCAAAAAAGCAACACGTGGATATGAAAAGTTTTGTTTAGAAACCATTTTAAAATTTTAATAAGGAAGTTAAAAAATAAACTAGTTGCATGTATCTTGATTTATTCTCATCTTGTTCTATAAATTACATTGCAAAAAAGCAATAAACTTAAAAGGGAAGAAATAGGTATCCTATGTTAATGAACTAACACAGAATTTATATTATTTGTTGAAGACTTTGAATGGGTAGTGGGCTACCAGCGGCTAAGCGGTCGCTAAAATGGTAGCTCAGCCTGAGGTTCGAATTTGATGAATGGACTGGCTGAATGGGCATTTTCATGATTTTCCCCATGTGTAAATGTGTATACGAGTCAGTTTCCCTTAGAAAGTCCTTCATGAAGGCATCCCTCCCCATAGGCAAATAGCCCTTGTGGGCTTTGCCATAATCAAATAAACAGGGATGGCCAACCTTTTTGGGAAGAGTGCCACTATCTGGGAAAAAAGAAAAGGTTATGCGTGCCATTTCCAACATACTAAAAAATACAAACAGGTGAAAAATTTAGTAGTACTTATATGCTGATTATAAGATTTTTATGCAAATAGCACATTTTGTTATGCAAGTCCGAGTAGTAGACATTTAAAAAATATAATAAATAAAACAAATGTATAAACTAGAGATTTATTGTTAATAAACATTTTTAAAGGTTCAGTGAGTTAGGTTATGCATAAAATAAAAGTCATATTTTGAAACATTTAACTCTAAAATAACTATTAAACAGTAAGTATTTAATAAATGTGGTTTTTGAATATGTAGTTTTTTTACTAAATCATCTATATTCGGATTAGTTCTTCAAGATGCTACCAAAATTAGGTGTTTAAGATATGTATCAGTTAATCTTAAACCATATTTTTGATGTTATTATGTTCATTATAGAAAACAATTGTTCACAAACATCAAGCCTATAACAATACCTGACAGCAAAATCGTGTAAATTTGGAAAATTGCTTGTTGGCACAAATTTCCAAGATCAATACAATTTGGATCATTTTCAGACGAAATACGTTCTTTATACTTACTTTTCAGTGTAGTATGCAGTTATAATTCAATAATTTGGATTTGGATTTCAGTTGAATAACAATTAACATTTTGCAGAGAAAGTGAATTTTTATATTTATTTCAGTGCATTTACGAGTGTATCTATTGAGAGAGTTCTTACACACGGTATTATTATTATTTTTTCATATCCTTAAATTTTTCAATATTCTTCATATGCTACTGCTGAAACTCTGCCGTGCTACACTGCGGCATGTATGCCACGGGCTGGCCATCCCTGAAATTGGCTAGCTTAATGTTTCAGTCAAAATAAAAAGAAAAATTTTCTCAACTTTAAATAATTCTGAAAATGATAACTGAATCATTACATTGTAAAAAAAAAATAAATAAAAGCTCAGTCTCAGAATGAGAAATTAAAACATTTAGTCGAGCTCTTATCTGGAGATGAACTCAAGGACAACACAATATTCAATTAATCTTCTAGCTTTGACACCACAAAAATACATGAAGAGGATAAATGCTTTTAATTAAATATTTTTACCTTTTTTACCACTACCAGCCAAAGACAAATAGCTAAAAGAGGTATATGGCCCATAATTGATCAATCTAAGTTTGGTGGAAAATTTTTAGCTGTAATACTAGATGTGGAGAAAAAGAACAATTTTGGACTGAGGTATGATTACAAAATAGTGATGCTTTTGCCACAATAAAACCTAAAAACTATAAGTAATCATACCAACAGGCTGGCTATTGCATGCCCAAAGTATATGCATTGTAATATGCCTTTCATTAATAACTTGCTGATCATGCTAATATATTCAAAATTTACATTACATTCTTATGCACATATCTTAGAAGACCTATAATTTTAGGGCACAAAAGGACAGTCTGTCATATTTATATAAATAAGACTGGTAGTGAATAGTTCAGTTTCAAAAAATGATCACTTTAAAATCTTATAATGCTAAGATTCATCAGATATTTTAAAAACTTGAGAAATGTGCATGCCTTCATCCAGAAATTAATGAGATTTAACTGCATACATATATAGATATACATACAATGATATATATATATATATATATATATATATATATATATAAAGCACAAGTAATTCTTTTTTGTTTAAAAATAGACATGAATGAAAATGCAAAGTTAACATTAATTTCTCACAAAATGAGTACAAAAAATTGAGAATTTTTCCCCCTTTCTTACTGACTTACATAACACACTTATATTACAATATAACTAAACATTATTACTTGGAACATTTGTTTACTCCTATTGGTAAAACATGTAAAGCTCGTGATCTCGACAATTAACAAGAATCAACGGGAAGAATCTGAATTTTTGAATATTTTTAAAACTAAACTAAATAGTAGAATTACTACTAATATGAAATTTGATGAAACACATCTTAACAAACATTTTCAAAGCAATAGAAATTTTCTAAAAAAATGAAAACTATAAAAAAGTGCTAAGAGAAGAATGTGCTGTTACTTGTAAATTAATGTAAATGCATTTAATGAAAATTGTATTAAAAATGTATGATTTCAGAAAATCTAATTATTTTAAGAGTAATGGGAAAATGCCTTGTAAAACAATAACTCAGCTTTAAGTATTTCCAAAACATGCGAGTATGCAAAATATACCGTATTTGACGGCATATAAGACGAACCTTTATTTAGAAGGCCACACACAAGAAAAAAAAAGTTTCAATAGTACGACCACAATAACTTAAAATGTGTTTTCTTTTAGTTCTCACGTTTCGTAAAAGCCAAATAAACAATCATTGAATGCAATTACCAAACATACTTTTATTAAGGAAAATTAACAAACGAAAAGCTATTTTGAACATGATATGTAAATTTCAATAATGAATAAATGAATGAACGGCAAGCAATCAAACATAGTACAAAAAAAAAAAAAAAAGCAGAAACAACACAAAATACAGATTCAAGAAAAACGTTGCCTATCACGAAATATGCCTGAGGCCAAGATGGAGCTGGGCATCAAAGGTTATATTTTTGTTTTTTAGCAGTCTTCAGTTGCTCTTCCTGCAGGCTCCATAGACGTAAAGTGACCGTCAAACCTGTTCGAACTTCGACATCAGCTTTGAGCTTTGGCGCTTTTTGGCGACAGATATTTCACACATGCGCAAAATAATTATGGCAGATGTAGAAAAAGTTATGTTCGTCTAGACCTTTATCCAGGCTAAAAATAGCATTCAGTATTGAAAGTTAACCTGTGTCCTTCACGTATAAGACGCAGGTAACATTTTTGAGACCAAATTTAGGAAAAAAAAAAGTGCGTCTTATATGCCATCAAATACGGTAATTCATAAAAAGCAAAAACTGATATTATGTATATATCCAAATAATTTAGAAATTTTTATAAATAATGGGTATACTTCATAAATATACTTAAATACAGTTAACCTTTGAAAAATGCAGATTTGAAGTGGCAGAAAAATTGATTGCAAGTAGGTTCCCTCGCCCTCTAAGACATATGATGAATCAATTTTTAGACAATCTGCTATGTTTTTTAAAACTTGTAGCTAAATAGCATAGTCTATTAGTAAGTAAAGAAAAATCTGGTTTTCCCACGAGTGCATAAAAATACATTTGAACCTGCAATAAAAACTTGTTTCTCATGCTCTATTCTTGGTAGCATACTTAACATCAAGTAACCAGAGCACATAAATTTACTTACCCATCCTACTATAATATACTTTTAAATCTTTGTATCTACAAATAATTTCTTTCTTTCCTCTCAGTTATTTTATTGTAAAAAGAGAATAAATGAGAATATATACAACACATAAAATATGAAACTTGTTCCTCATGCCACCAGTAAAGTTTCTATTTAAAATTAGGCTATTAGCATTTAAAGATTTCAGGCAGAAGTTTTACGCAAGTTTTTGGCAACATGAAGAATCAGAAGTCCTAGTCCCAATGTCAAAGGTCAACTGTACTTATGCATTTTATTTCAATAAAACATGATAATACAGATATATATAAAATACACAAAAGCTTTTGAATTTTTTTTCCACTTACATTTATAAATAACTATACAAACATCAAAACGAAACCAGATATTAAGAAGGCATGTCATTCAATTATTTTAGTTAAAGGTACGTAAAATAAGCAGTTACAAAATAATATGAATTTCTTATTATAAAATACATAAAGACGCAAAGCTATTACAACTAGTAAGATATACCAAAATGTATAATTTATTTCAGAAAGTGCATTAAATGCTTAAATAATAGAAACACTTCTGAAATTATGTTTAGCACAGTCCTCTAAAAATGAATAACAATGTACAAATAAATAAATTTTGATGCATGTTATGTTTTCTTCAATGTATATAAACGCAAAAATTTAAATTATTTTGTTTACAGCAGATAGAATCTTCAAGATATTTATAAAATTACTAAATAGTTGAAAGAAAACTGTAATATGAAAATGACTTGCTGAGACTTTTGATAAAAATGAGGCTACTCCTAAAATGCAAGCTTTATATAAAAACTCTTCTCATTTCTAGTTAACTTTGGCACAATGTCTGGAAGCTTAAAATTTAAATTTCTGTACTCTAAAATTGAAGCATTTGAGATTTAAAAAGCAACAAACATTTTGAGTGATAAAAATGACAAACACTTAATGACAAAAATATGTATTTACATGCCATTAATAAATGCTAAAAATGATACATTCACAAAACATCTTGGGAGCTCTTTTCTGCCTGAAAAAACTTCAGGAGATATATAAAACATTCAAAGTTAAAAAAAAAGTTCTCATTTAAATATTTTATATTTTGACACCGTTCAACGGATGAAACACAAAGTATACAATCTTGGATGCTTTCAGAAATCTTCGGCATTACGATAACTTGGCTCTGTAGACACAAAATAATCATCAAAAAAGCCAAACAGGAACTCAAATGTGGGTCTTTTTTCTGGATCTGCATCCCAACATTGTAACATCATTGAATAAACTGAATCTGGACATTCACAGTTTGAAGGTTTGGGCATTCTGTAACCTCTTTCCACTTGCTCAATTACTTCACGATTGTGCATGCCTAAAAGAACATTTCAAAAAATGAATAAATGATAAAAAGCGCTGTTGAAACTCTCACCGACAATCATGTGATTTGCGCATGCGTGCAGCAAAAACTAAATCAGAACTTTTTAGTTGAACTTTGAAAACTCGTGCTGGACGTTTGAGTGAAATATGTAATCCTATTCTTCTGTGTTACATATATATTTTAGTTTAGTGCTGTGATGTAAATTAAATATCATATTATCTTAGAAGCCTCCCTTTTTCTGTGAATAGTGTAGTAAGAAAAATACTAAAAGGACCATTTAGTCGATCTCCTCTCTTCTCCAAAGGGATATCCGGGAGTATTTTTCTTAAGTACATCTATACACTACTCACAGAAAAAGGGAGGTTTCTAGGATAATCAGATATTTAATTTGCATCACAGCACTAAACTAAAATATATATGTAACACAGAAGAATAGGATTAACATGTTTCACTCAAACGTCCATCACGAGTTCTCAAAGTTCAATTAAAAAGTTCTGATTTAGTTTTTGCTGCGCGCATGCACAAATCATGTGGTTGTCGGTGAGAGTTTCAACAAGCGCTAACATATTGAAATTTACAAAAGACAATTCTGTACTGTAAATTGTAGTTAGTTACACTTAATTATAATAAGAACAACCTTTTGAAAATATCAGATAAAACCAAGAGCATTAAATCCATCAGATCTTTTTTAAGTTTTAAGAAGTTGGTTGGTTGGCTAATCTGCAAGTTTTATTTGTCCGATTGCAGAAAAAGGCACGAAAACAATCTGCCTATTAATTAGCATGGAACCCTTAAGAAACTAAATAATACTAAACTAATTTTTCACAATGAGTTAATAAATATCTCCAAAACTAGTATATGCAGCAGAATGTATGGCAAATAAATGTTAATGGGAATTTTCTATCCTTAATTTTTATATTTTATAAACTAATTGAATTTTGGAAGGATTGGAAGGATTTGCAAGACAGATGGTTTTCAAGTTTTTGACATGTTGCAACACCTGCATGTAGTTGCAGTTCACTTTGTTGCTCCTGCTTTCTCAGGAGGTGATGAACAAGAAGGACATTCCTGAATTCCCTGAACAGGGCCAATGCACTCCCATTTAGCAGACACTCCCTGATAATGGACAAAAGCCTTGGTCCTATTAGTATTCATTAATAGGAGGTATGACAATATATATATATATATATTTACTAGCAGTCAATAAGAAATTATAAAGTAATTAGTAACTATGCAGCAAAACAAAAATTCAAAATATATGGTGATTCACAAAAAGTGTCTATCAAACAACTGGTGAATCACAACCCATAGTTTAGAAACCATTGCCTAATACAGTTCCAAATAAATTGGTCTTAATCATTTCAAGTTTCATTCCCTCCTAAAAAATACTACAGTTGAGCATACAATCCTCCTCCCCCTCAAAAAAGCCCATCAGATCCAGTTATCACAGAAGTCATTAATATTGATTTCCAACATGCTGCAGTTATTGTTCTAAAAAAAAGTAAAATGAAAAATGCATTAAGTGTGAAAACATACATAGCTATGAGGTATTCAATATCACTATTTAACGTAAATGACATGCTATAAATAGATTTGGTATTACAGTTGAGCAGATATGACATACTGCTGTGTTCTATGGGTTTGCGGATTTGGAATGATAAATGGAAACACTTAATAAAGAATCAGAACGCAATTTATTCGCCAGCATTACACAGAAGACTTCCAAAGACACATTTACAGTTGTCTAAAAACTATGATAAACACACTGAAGCAATTAGCAACACAACCTGCAAGCTACAACGGAGAAGACAGCTTTACGGCAAAACACTAAAGTACAGCTCCCACCTGGGTTCGGTCGTTCTCGAGCTAAAACATCACAGAACTATACAAATTCGGCACTGCACACAACTTAGCACTGCCTTTCTCTCCATATACACAATAACCTATTTTTTTGCTTTAAAAAAAAAAAAAAAAATTCCAACCCAAAATATTTTATCATACAACACAGTACATCCTTGGAATATGAATTTCTGCATTCTCTATTGTTGAACAAAATGCCATAATTCTGAAGGAATGCAATGCTTTTTCATCAGCTAACAAACTCTAGTCTCATTATGATTCCTTACCAAAATAAATAAAATCGAATTTAAAGGTAGAAATTAGTACTTGTCTGCTACATACATGCCAGTTGCCACATAAATATTTTTCAGGAAAGAGAGAGAGGTAATCAAAAAGAACAAAGAACCATGAAAGCATATGAATAAATGATTTCAAGAAACTTCCAAATAAAACTACACAAGAGGAAGGATTTCTAATATGAAACATTTCAAACTTCACAAACACATTATATGAAGAGCTCTTTGTACACTTTATATGACATACATTATTTTATTATCTCCTCCATTCATGTATATAACCATTTTATATTCTTATAAATAACATTCATAAGTTTTATCATAACCTTCAGTATAATCCCGTTTAATGCTGAACTAGTTATGATTCCAAATCTGATGGGCTCTTCCATAAACCTTCCAGTAATTTTGACAGAGGTAGTTTGAGCTCACTTACAAAAGCTCTCTTAATCTTCGGTAACTGGAATTACAAAATCTGATAATTTGAAGATACATAAAATACACATTTACATTACAATCAAAAGATGTATAACTTTTTATTAATACCCAGATAAGTTACTAAATTAATTAAAACATTCAACTTTCCAAACTAATATTTTGTTATTTTAAAACATTTGGCAACAATCAAAATCGTAAAAACAACTTTGTATTTAGCGTAGGTATAATGAAACACTCAATCGATTTCGAGGGCAGCTAAAGGTCCCTCCTCATCAGCAGAAAGAAATACCTAGAAAGAAGAAAATAAAGGAGTCACAGAAACACGTGGTCCTTATCAGCACTGCACGTTGTTATAACTAGATTTTAATCAGAGTTGCACTGGCCGCCTACTTTTACTGAGCCAGGCTATCTGATCGAGCATGAAAAATTAGAGAAGTTAAAATAGGGAGCGAGGGGCAAATGCACCTTACGCTCAAAATCTGAACTTCAAATAATGGAAAGCAACCACTGAATGAATTTTTGTACCCTCTGGTAGTACCAAACGCAAGGAGGTAACGCCATCTATCAGCAAAAATAACTGAATTAAGATAGTAGAATTTTAAAGGCATTAGGAAGGACTGGATTGGACTTCAAATCATTAACTAAACCTGCTAAATCTTTGTGAATGTGAAAAGCCTCAAGAAAATCCAATTCACCTATGGAAGAAGCCTTTTGGATAATTTTTGCAGATCCAAAATCAAAATTATGGTTAAAAGTCCAACTATGATACGCTATTGAAGACTTGTTAATTTCGCCTTTTCTGACATAAGATTCATGTTCCTTGATACGAAACTTCAACGCTCTTTTCGTTTGGCCGATATATCTTAAACCACACTGACACGATATACTATAAATTCCCCAAGAATTCAAGACAGAAACGCAATCTTTTAGAATCGAAGGGTGAATTTTATTAATAGGGGAGAAACCGACTTGAAAATTGAATTTCTGGAGAATCTGTGCAATTTTATAGCTAACAGAAGGATAAAATGGAAGCACGACAAGGTCATTAATATTATTTCTAACAGTGGATTCTAGGTTTCTAAGGTCATTAATATTATTTCTAAGAGTGGATATTATTTCTAACTGGCAACAAATTAGAAATAAGCACTGATATATATATAAGAAGATATTTTTAAATTCCCAAGGCTTTTTCCCCAGAAAGAGAAGTTTTGTTAAAATACCCTCAGACTAAAAAATAACTACAGGGGGAAAAAATCAATAAAAACTTAAAAATTTAAAGATCAAGATTGAAAATACCCTGTGTTTTATACAAAATATGCAGAATAATTTATGACAGAAATAAAATCCATGGTAAAGGCTCCCTGATTTGCATTTAACATAATCCAACAAACTAGAATAAATGTCTTAAAATCTACTTTAAGCCTGGATAAGGACATACCTGGATAAGGAACTTGGCCATGAGTAATAAGTTCATAAAGTAATATTCCATAAGACCATACATCAGATTTTATGGAAAACCTTCCAAGTAATGCTGCTTCTGGGGCAGTCCATTTGATTGGAAACTTAGCACCTGAAATAAGAGGAAGATAAACAAAATGACATTGCTTTTATATGCATCAAAATATCCTAATGTACTGTCATTATATATGATATGAATTGTTATTTTCTAGAAAAAATTATATTCTTAACTTAAATAAATTTCAAATAGAGCTGGGAGGGAAACTTAGTTATTCTCACAACAATTATTCATACGTAGAGCTAGTAACTTAGTTATCATCTTCACTGAACCTTAAAAGTAAAAAATCTGATGTGTACACCACATGACTTCCTTGTAAGGAATATTAAATTATATGCATTTTTTCTTGCATTTCATTTAAACTTATAAGATTGAGTTAAACCTACTTTGCCGACACCGCAAAAACCACAATAGAATAAATGCATTCTTTAAAATTTACTTTGTTTACCATAGCGACACTCTGGCGCTAGGTTCACTTAACAGTATTATATTTCGTTCATATTGGAACTCAATGCGCAAAATTTATATCATTTAAAGAATTATCTAATCGTTGCCACATGTTCTATTCAAATACTATAATAAAGCTAGAATGATGTATAAAAGAAATTAAGCAAACAAAACAAAAAGAAACAGTTTTCACAGACGATTGAGTATTTCTCATTCAATTAATTCAGTTTTCACTTTGCGACAAGGCAAATATACATAAAAACTCAAAATATCTGTATCAAAAATTATGAAGTCAATCTTAAACGCTTATTTCCTCGAAAAAATTTAAGAAAGGATTAAGCATGATTTAAATAATAAATGAAGGCGTTATCTTTGTTGTTGCGAAGCTAAGTTTCTCTAGATTGGCAATAAATCCACTATCCTGCTGTTTCAAATGTAAACAAGTGCAATGGCCGCCATCAAAAACATTATTGTGCTTAGCGGCACTTAAACAATTTTAAAATTGTTCATAATTTTAAAAATATTGCATACAAATTTACTAAAGGCATAAAAACCTTAACCAGAAGATAAGAACAACATAATTCAATCATTTTTAAAGCAAAAAATGTAGAATTTACAAACATACAAGAGTAAAGAAACTGAGATCACTGAACTGGGTAACAGAGTGGATATATATATAAATATATTTATATACGTCTGCTGCGGCCGATTGCAACCAAAATACGAGGTGCACATCTACATGTTATAGCAGTCTTATATATAAAATTTCAACGTTCTGGGGCTACTCGTTTTTGAGTTATGCGAGATACGTACGTATGTACATACGTTCGTACAGACGCCATGAAAAATTCTCTTCAGAATTCATTTTAAAGCAGTTTTATAATTTTTTGGGAGGAAAAGACTCTTTTATTCTGTCCTTACGTACATATATCATGGAAATACATTGTTAAATTGCATTTGAAAGAGGTCAAAATGGGATATTTTCATTGAAATATGCTGCATGAAACTTTTCGCGATTACAATACTTCCTTTTTACTAAGTACAAGGAAGTAAAAATAACTATTCAGATCTTTTCAAGATAACTTTAAAAAAAAAAAAAAAAAAAAACGCAAATTTCAATGTTACATGAGATTTAGTAATTAATAACAAGCCTACAACAATCCACCTTCTTTTTTTTTAAAAAAAAAAAAAAACTTTTTACAGCTGGATATGTGAATAGAAAAATTAAAAATTACTTAATATAGAAAAAAATTCATATGAAAAACATTTCAATTTGTGCTTAAAAATAATACCATCAGGAACAGGTTCAGATAAAAATATCTAATGAGTACAATTTTAATATTTAAACAGCTTATATATTTAAGCCTATTCATTTTGTGTTTCATCATAAAACGTCAGAGTTTTTCTAACAAAAATTATGCACCTTTTAAGCACTATTAAAAAATATTGTCTTTGAGAACTAAAATCAGAAAGACTTAAAATAAAATTAGACTTCTGGTAAGGGTACGCTTCTGTATAAGACTCAAAAATGAGAAATAACTGTAAAACTCAATATGACAGTACTTCACACACTTGAAAACAGTTATGAATGTTACACATACATTCCCTCCTCCCCCAAACTAAAGATTCCAATAATTAACAATATTCCTGTTTTAAATGTTGGTAATGTCCTCTGGCATATAATAACAGCCTAAGCACTAACATTAAAATGTTATAATTCATCCAAGCCCCCAAAGCAAAAAATTATCTTTTTAAGGCTTAGCAATTTATAAATTATTTCAAAATCTTATTTTCTCAATTAACACTGGTTTTTTCTATATGTTTTACTAAAAAGAAGATGAAAAATAATTTGACAAATATTATGATGCAAGTCAGTTTTATTTTCTCAGAGACAAAATTACACTAATATAAAAATTAAGTATCTTTCAACAAAGTTATCTAAACTGGAGATAATAGCAGCAACAATAGTGCAATAGGTTGAGTCATTCAAGATTTCGAAGTACAAGAAACTAGACAGGTCATGCAAGATTAAAGGACATCCTTTGTCAGGTCAAAAAGTCTAGAGTTTATCTGCCTGCCCATCCTAATTTTAAAAGATGAAGTTTGTCTTCTGCTCTGCCTGAACTGAGACATGACAGCATGCTTGCTTGACTGCTTAGACTATTTTTTCTAACATGCATTCTTTTTTAAAACATTCATCAGAACTGTCCTAACTATGTAACAATTATTAACATTTCACAAATTTAGCCCAAACTGAAACTGTAGATTTCTTTAATTGCTGCATAAGAGGAATGCTGAATAATATTTCTGATTTTTGCCTTTTATCTAAAAGTAAAAACTTTATTTAGATTTTAACCCACCCACAAATACATAAAGAGATAAAAACCCACCCACAAATGCATAAAGAGAAAGGCAATAAAGCAAATGTTTGCAAAGCAGAAGGTATACTGCACAAAAAAAGGGGGTGGGACAGTTCTTTTTCTCCCGTTCTACTGGGCTAGTGATGAGTCGGTACTACCGAACCGGGTATTTTGTAACGGGTACTGAAAATCAGTACATCCAAGTACCGTTACTTCAGTACCAAAATCGGTACTTTTCGGTATTCGTTACTTCTGTACCGAAACGGGTACTTTTCAGGATTCGTTACTTCTGTACTGAAACAGGCACTTTTCGGTATTCGTTACTTCTGTACTGAAACGGGTACTTTTCGGTATTCGTTACTTCTGTACCGAAACGGGTGCTTTTTGGTATTCGTTACTTCTGAACCAAAACGGGTGCTTTTCGGTATTCACTACTTTGCAACGAAAATATGCGTCTCTTCTCGGTATTCGTTACTGGAGGATCGATGAGGGTTCAGCTCACTTCGGTTTTGGTACGAGGACAGTAAAATCTGATTGTATTTGCGAAATGGTGATATGCACTCCTTGTGTCCATGTTAAAACAGACTGATCATTGTCACATGTCATGCAATATTACGTAAACTTATACTTGCAGTTCAAAAACGTAGCACTACATTATAGATCATATTTCAGACTTTATTTTTTAAATTTAAATTATATGTTTTAATGACATCTGTAAATATAACAATAATAATGATTCGTGCACTTATTTTGTATGAAATAAGAGAAAAGTTTACAGCAAAAAACATAATTAATATACAATAGCAATAAAATTACAATTTCTGCCGCTACCCTATTTTCAAAACCTACTCTCAATGCCCCTCTTCTTCTTCTTCTTTTTTTTTTTTTTTTTGGAAAGAAAGGAATGTAAGTAAAAAAAAAAACATGAAAGTTGCTTTTGCCCCAATTAAGGAAATACCTTCAAATTTTGGTAATTTAAAAATAACTTCAAAATTCAATCTGCTGATTTTAAACATTTTTATTTTAATCAAAATATGATGTCACACTTCTTGTTACCCCCTCCTCCGCCTTGTCACAAACTGTCACAATTTCACTAACCCCCCTCCAAGTGTGACATCATTTATGGACGACCCCTTTCAAAAAATTGATAGAGCACCCATTGATTTTGCTGCACCTGCACACAAGACACCGAAAGTGAAAATGTTTCCATCCATCCACTTCCCGTGCCAATCCTCCCAGCCCCCACTGGCCATCAAAAACAATCTACGCAAACCCAACACCAGAAACTACCCGCCGCGTTCTCCTGCTCCTCAGACACTTCCGTAGTTGACATGTTTTCTGATATTCAATCTTACTCTGTACAGATAAAATCAAACATGTGGTGATGTGGCAGAGTTCCTTCAGTGTGCAAAATTGTTAGCTGCATATTTCGGTACTCCAAATCGTTACTAGGGTACTTCGGTACTCCAAATCGTTACTAGGATACTTCAGTACTCCAAATCGTTACTAGGGTACTCCGGTACAGCAAACCGTTACTAGGGTACTCTGGTACAGCAAACCATTACTCCGGTATTTCGTTACTTCGGTACTCCAAATCGTTACTTGGGTACTCGGTACTTGAAATCGTTTTTCGGTACTTTTCAAAGTAACGGTTACTTGAGTAACCGATATTTTGTACCGGGTACAAGAAAGTACCTAAGTTGCCCATCACTATACTGGGCCAATTGACGAAATTCAAATTGTGTTTTTTCATGTCTTGAAAGTGCAACTTAAGATATACATTAGATTTATATATAGCATTGTTTTAATATAGGTAATTTGACACAAAATCGGACTTTTTCTGAAATGGCATGACAATTTTTTTCTGTATTTCAATTCTATGACTCAAATTATGCCTAAATATTAAATTTTGTAAAATCTGAGGTGAAACTTACAGAGAAATTAAAAAATTTACCTTGGCACATTTTTTTCAGTTTGCCCCCAGAATAATTTCTTGGCAAACTTCTTAATTTGCAGCAAACTATTTTCCTTTCCTTTTTTTATTGTATACGAGCAGAGAAAAGGTCATGTTCATTACTTTCAAATAATTTTAACAAAGTGCGTAAACCACATTTGGCGTTATTATTGCTTGTAACGAATATGCCAAATTTTAAAACTGAATTTTTTGAAAGTGTACCTAGAAATATATCTACTTAAGATGATGTTAATTTTATAGGTTATAATAAAAATTTTTTTTTGAAAAATTTATAAAAATTATTTAAAAATTACAAATTAAAAAAATAAAACATAAAAAATGTGCAAATCACATTTGGATTAAGCCTAGGTTTCAAATTCTGGAAGAAGGAATCAAGTAAGTTTAATAAAGAATGAGATATTAATAAATATATATCAAATTCAATTAACATCAGCGAACTAAAATTTTGAAAGCTAATTTTGTAACAACTACTCCTGCGACTTTTACAAACTTGGTAGTTTGTCATAATTTGAGTCGTAGAATAGGAATATGTGAAAAAAAAAAAAAAAAAAAAAGGCATGTCATTTCAGACAAAGTTCGATTTTTGTGTCAAAATACCTAATTTTTAGGTATTTTGACACACCTAAAAATTATTACTTAAAACACTGTTATATATAAATCTAATAATTATTTTAAGTCACACTTTCAAGAAAAACGCAAGTTAAATTTCGTCAATTGCGCCAGTACAACGGGAGATATAGAACTGTCGCTTTTTTTTTTCGCAGTGTACATGCATTATATGCACACTGAAAAAAAAAAATCTACTTCTCATTATCTCAGCACTTTTTCAGAACATTCATTTTTGCAACTATTTCAGGAATGAGAAATTTTACTAATTACATTTATACTTAAATAATATAATTAAATTATATATATATATTAAACACATAAAAAACTGACTTTCTCTGACTTCAGATCACAATAGTTAAGAAATGTCATAACTAATCAAACGCAAAAATTTTTTTGAACAACAGCATGTAGCAAAAAGCGAAAGCAAAATTCAAAGACAATAAAACAAAAATTACCTTGCCGAGCAGTATACTCAGAATCTTCTATTATCCTAGCTAAACCAAAATCGGCCACTTTCACTATATTATTTTCACCTACTAATATATTTCGAGCTGCTAAATCTCTGTGGATTAGTAATTCACGCTCCAAATATGCCATGCCACTAGCAATCTATAATAGAAGAATTAATACAGTCAAAAGTCGTTAATCCGGACTCGTCGGGGCTTCGGCGATTCCGGATTATAGATCATCAGTTTAAATCTGGTAAGATGACATGCAGAAATTACAAAATTAAAAATATGAAACCATAATTTATGAAATAAAGAACAATTATGATCTAAAGGGTATCAAAATTTACAAAAAAAAAGCTTAATATTTATTTGTTTACGTTATTAAACATTTCTTTCAATGTAAGTTGTTTAAGTTGCTTCGTTTCATGTGATAATACTTTCTCTTTAAATCTATTAAACAGACATAATTTCTTGTTTAGTTACAAAGTTCCGCTGTTCAATTCCTATAATTGCTTTAAATCATATCAAAAGACGGACATGAAATACTACATTTAGTAAGGAATTATAAGCCAATAAAAACATCTGCCATGAAGATAAGGATAGTGCTGACAGATCAACTTCCAATTCATTACTTGCCACGGCGTTCCCAATGACCCAATGACACGACTTCAGGTAAAGTCATGCAGATGATACCTCTAGAATTGCTTGCTTGCTATATCACAAGGTATTAGTAACTCAATGTCATTGAAGTCACTCTACACCATGCAATATCTTTCAACAAATTGTTGGCTGTGCACTGCCCATTTGCTTTACACCCTTCTGACACTCCTTCACCTAAGTCATGTGGCATATATGCACTGTACCAGACCTAAGTGTATCTCATGATTAGTCTTTGATCCATTCTGTTGCCTTGTTCCACGTTTATGTTAATTTCTTTGCCCTGTTCTTAATTTCTGCACACCAATGTAGTTGGTTATAATGATTTGGTGAAAGCACAAGAGGACTAAGTATAATTGATAAAATGGATATAATTATTACAGCTTTCTAGACAAATGGCTGGTTAATTGATCATGGGAAAGCAGAAGGCTGTCTGCTTTTGAAGGGAAGCAGGTAGCTTCTTCTGCTTTTCCATGAAGGACTTTCTAAGGAAAATCAGCTCACATTATTCATTATTAAACGTGAGGAAAAATTTTTTAAATCCTTCAAGAACAAAACTACTGACAAATATCTGAAGGTCTATCTTAATTTCATATTATTCCACCACAAACTATGATTCTCACATTCTAAATCTACATCTTTATAGAATGCATTGGAGATAAAATTTATCTTTTGTTATGTTTGAATAAATATTCTTTTAGAATAATTTTCCCAGCAAAGTCTAAATTCATTCACATAAATCTCAACTCCAAGCCATGAAACTCCATTTATGATGATCTATCAGTATTATTTTGGTATTATTTCATCAATACCATTTCAGATATGCTCAACTGATGAGAGAGAATTTATAAGTGTTCAAAAGAATGTACCTCTTTTTCTCTGTGTCTTATTGCAGTTATTTTCATATGCATCCCTGTAGATTCAGAAGCTCATGAGCAGTGCTGTTACTTTCTTCATTCTCTTCATGATTACAACCACGAAATGTTTCTGATATGGTTATGAGTGGCCTTGTCCTGAACAACAAATTATCCCTGCCTTTCTGAATAGTTTTTATGATTTAGAGATGAAATTTTGAAGTATGCCTAACATTTTGGATATTTAAGACTAATTCTGCCTGGCATTCATTTTTCAAATCTCTGTTATTTCTCACAATCACATAAATGCTTTCTTCTTGACACCTTCAATCAGGCAATTATTAAAACTTATTCTAACCGACATTTACAGGAACAATTATCAGTTTCTTAAGCTTACTCTTCGGCTGCATACTCAGTTGAGACATTTGTAACTTGCATATTCCTAAATATGCAGCAACATTTTAAATCTAGTACCTTAAAACATATTTTATGCAAAACCATTCAGCAAAATATAAGTTTTCACTTTCTTCTGATCATCTGTTGGTTTTCCACCCAGTACACATTAAAACTGCTTCATGAACGTAACATAAAAGTGTAAATGAAAAAGGTGGTTTTTAAATTTAAAACACGCATTTGTACAAATAAAAACGATTGAACTACTGAACAGTAATACTACAAATAACAGAAATGAATAAAAGAATAAATGATGCAAAAAAATAAACAAAAACTTACTTGTGCTGCCATATCAATAAGAGCATGCAACCTCAAATTTTTGCCTTCTTTGTTTCTTAAATAATCTAAAAGACTGCCATTAGCCATATATTCAGTAACAATAAGAATGGGCTCTTCTTTTGAACAAACAGCAAACAAAGAGACTAATTTTTCATGCCGGAATTTTTTCATTATTGTAGCTTCTTTTAGAAATTCTGATGGTGCCATTGTACCAAATTTAAGGGTTTTGACTGCAACTGGTGTTGTTCCCTTCCATTTACCTAAAAACATTCAACACATTAAACAAGGGTAATATTAAACTATTACATATACATATGTGTGTTTATGCAATAATTATGATAAAATTTTATTGAAGGCAAAATTTTCATATTATTCTTAGGATTATTCCCCAATAAACAAATATTAAATGGCACATAAGTTAGCTTACTTTAGATTTTTACTGTTATTTTCCATGCTAACTGCTAAATTATTTTTCATATTTAAACAAGATAACAGTTTTTTAGTTAAGTGTGATAACAAAGGAAAAATGTTGAGAATTTGCAGGCCTATCTTACAGACTAAGGACAGTTGCTAAAAAATCATCATAAAAATCACAGTTGGCAGTAACATACCATATTCACAATACACTCAAGAAAGAGAAATGGGACTAAATCTGTCTTTTGATGGATAAAAGGTCTTTAGATAAAAAATAAAAGGTCTTTTGAACTTCTAATTATGCCTCAAACCTTCTAGAATACAGCAATAAGGGGGGGAGAGAGAGAGAGAGAGAGAGAGAAAAGTACTTAAGAGATTTTAATTAAAGCAGAATTTTACATCAGCATTTAATGAACAAAAATTAAGAATATAATTTTTAAAAATATGTCTACATTTATTTGGATGATACAGACGTAATTTACTATATGATGTACACATTTAAACTCCTAAATCTTGCTTTCCCCCCTGAATAAAATAAGACATAAATATTTGAGAAATACGAGGGTTGGAACTTTAATAGTGGCAACACAGCTGAAAAAACACTACGCAACAAAACCAAAGAATATCGCGTATACCACACGTAAACTACATACCTACCTTACCTCTCAGCAAAAAGACTCGTCCTGCCTACGTCACGCGCATGCGGAGTGATGCGAAGAACGGATCCTTGTATTAGCTCACGGTCTAAAGTAAGTGTTGTTAGGATGTTTTCAAAACAAGAACAACGATGTTGGATAAAAATTGAATGTGCCAGAGGTCGTACAGCACGACAGTGTCATCAAGGGCTTCAAGAGGTTTTCGGGGAATCTGCATTTCCTTACAGAACCGTAGCAAGATGGGTCAAAGCATTCAATGAAGGACACCAAAACGTGGCAGACATGCTGCGGCCAGGTCGTCCGAGTGTCAGCGATGCAGACGTGCAAGCTGTTGACGCACTAATGGACAGTGATTGCCGCCAAACGATTCATCAGCTGGCCGGACAAACAGGATTAGCGCATATGACTGTGTTGCACATTCTGAAGGAATGCCTGTCCATGAAGAAAAATTGCTTCACGATGGGTTCCACATCAACTTGACAGGAAATGCAGAAAGAAATGGCTATGATACATGCTGCTCAGAACCCACCTGGAGCGCTATGAGCGTGAAGGAGAGGAGATGCTTTTTTACGGCATGTCATTACGCTGGATGAGACTTGGGCGCGATCGTACCAGCCAGAACTGAAACGCCAATCAAACGAATGGTGTCATCACAGGTCACCACAACGTTCGAAATTTCGTCAGAACCCCAGCAACGTTAAAGTTATGGTGATTCTCGTATACGACTGTGATGGTGTCATCCTAACGCATACCGTTCCCCCACAGCAGACTGTCACTGCGCAGTATTACTGCTCATTTTTGGAGCACAATCTCCAACCAGCTTTGAGAAAAAAACGGCGACAAAAAAACGAAACGCTCCTCTCATTTTGCATGACAATGCTCGGCCGCATGCAGCGTAAGCTGCGACTGATTTATTCAAGCGATGGGGCTGGGAAGTGCTTTACCATCCACCATACTCCCCAGATCTAAGGCCTTGTGACTGTGACTTAATTCCTAAGATGAAGGAACCACTTCATGGCACTCGCTTCCAAACTGTTCCTGAGATTCTTGCGGCAATTCTTGCGGCGGTCCATTCAAACTATCAACAAAACAGGCGCTGCTACAGGTATTCCAAATAAAAGTGAAAAGGGAAGTTTATTCCTTAATATAGATAAATTTAAACAGCAGAAAATCAAGAGTGTGGCACACATCACTGCCATGAGATGATGATGCAAAAAGCAAAGTTTAAAGTTTATAAAATTAAACATTTAACATGAGTAGCAATAGAAGCTCCCTGAGGTTATGTGCAGTGCAGATATTGAAGCCAATAAAAGGTTTCAAACTTAACCAATTTATTAACAATATATAAAAAAATAAAAACACAATGAATAAATTTAAACAATATCAATAACTTAGAAATTATAATACAACCATCATTATCAAAAATTTCATATATCAAATAATATTTTACCTTGGTCTCCAAAATACTGGCATTCAATACGGCAAAAAAAAAAAAACAAAAAAAAAAAACGTATTCCTAAACAGAAATTATGCGGTTTCAAAATGAAATTAGCTACACAGTCAATAAGGTCCATGCTTAATGGTCACGAAAGGCACCTGAAAATTAAATAAAATCCTTGAGAGCACTTAAATCCGGCCTAACTCCGCTCACTGTAGTTGAACACAAGGAATCACAGCTCAGAAAAACATCGCCGCTAACTCATGTTAAATGCCGCCTTCATGAAGAACATGGATGCCGCCCACGGCAGTCACTCACATTGTAGCCTCTTTTGAGAATCCAGGAAAAGTCATCTTGTAGACAGGAACCTCGGAACTTATTCCCAGACTGCACGCATCGCAAGATGTCTTTAAATAGGAGCTGGAAACCGCACACCCAAGAGCCAAGAAAGCAGGAACTAGAAGGGATGAGCCAGAGCGACGCAAGATACTTGTACCAGAAGTAGGCATGACGTCATCTCACAGCAACCAATCAGCTATCGGCACGACTCGGCTTTCCAGATGACGCAAGATCACGTTTCGTTTTTGCATCTTAATTAGGCTGAAACAGTCCGTTCTCAACACAAACAGTGGCAGTGAAAAAAGAAGTAGAAGTAACTACTATATCTCTTTAAAATAAGAACTAAGCCTAATAAATATTTCAAGGAGGAGAGATGATGCAGAAAAAGGGTTACAATAGGTCATATTTTCCAACAGATGATACTAGTGGCCGATTCCAAGCATATGTGACGCATGCAACCCCCTAGGACACCAAAGTTTAGAAGGCACCTGCTAAGTTGTTCTCATAAGCAAGAACTAAACTAAAATATATATTTCTTTGAATTATTTATGATATATACGGTAAATCACAACTGATCATTTATGTTGCTAAACACACTGCAGGCAGACCTATCCAACTACACATTAAATGCATTCTACACTAATGAAAATTTTTAATGGACATCAATTAAACTAATTTTCCACTGTTTTGAGTTGACACATAAAATAGTTTTTTAAGTTAGAGTTTGAAAGACAGAAAAGACATGAAAATTCCAAAAAATCAAATCACAAATCCTTTTTCATATTTGTCAGATTTAAGGACTTGAATAACCTATTGCAAGAAATACTGGTGTATTTAAAAAAAAAAAAAAAAAAAAAAAAAATTGAAATACATATCAAATAATTCAAGTATCATTTTATGTTTTTTTCTTCTACTTCTTGTAAGACATTCCAGCGTAAGTAGTGGCACTTCAAGACGTGATTTTTATTTAAAGCTTACATAATTACATTTGCATCAATGAAAAATACCGCAGACAGCAGTATATCAAGTTCTTTTTTTCATGCTTACTTACACAGGATTAACAGTTCTCAGACAGATATGGCCAGCCTTGTATGTTGATTCAAGTAAAAAATCTTATGAACTTGTATCATGGCAAAATGTTTTATAAGATTCCAACTGAACTTTATGGTAATAAATGGTAATTATTGGTATTTACAGTAATAAATGATAAAAAATGTCTGGCATCTATTAGCATATATTTTATGCATAAACCTACAGCTTTATGTTTCTATGCTAGTTTTTGTCAGTTAATTTTTCCAGACAGATGTAATCTCAGGGCATAGAAAGGAAGGAATCCCATTCACTTATTTATTATTATTATTTTTATTATTATTATTATTATTAAAACACACAAGTTTCAGGGATCAATTCTAATGCATTTTGACAAACCAGCATTATCTCTTTAAAAAAAATATGCAGTTAATATTTAAAAACCATAGATCATACATGCAATAAAAAAAAAGCTTTCAAGAAAACAGTGCACATATAGTTAAAGTCATACTTACCATACCATACATCACCAAAATTTCCACTACCTAATTTATGAATCAATTGTAATGAAGACCTAGGGATTTCCCATTCATCTCTAGTATCTGGTGAGAGATCCCAAAGGTGAGGCTTTGGTTTCGTACAGGGAACTGTCAATTTATGGCACAAGCCATTTGCTCCTTCTGTAAAAAGAGATTGATCACTTACAGATATAATCTGCACACCTGAGCAATAATTTAATATACAAACGATCAAAATTCAGTCTACAGATTTTCATAATATTTGAGATACAATGCATTCATTTGGACTGAGGAAGAAAAATGAGAGTAGACAACATTTTGTTGCTATACAGTTAACTCTCTTGTATTGACCACATCCTGAAAAGAACCATTTCTACAAGTTCTATATAAATTAAATGTATTTCTAAACAGAAGAACAATTTTTGAGAGAAATATGTTTCTATCTATTTTCAAAACAGACTTTAATCTTATCTCAATATAAAGCATTTAATATAAAGCAATATAATTCATATTTTAGACCCATTTATGATATAACCTACTTTACATGATTTCTCATATTCCTGAAGTGTTCTTTCTAACTTTTCCATTTCCTCTCTGTGCAGATGAAATGTGTAACAAATTACTATTCAGTGTTGCCATAGCAGTTCATGTCTGAATTTCAAATTTAAAATTACCATAGTAGGTCACCTTTATTTCAAGTAATAGTTCAATTAATATATGTACGCAGTAAATTTCATACATCTTAAATGATTAACCTCATCAAGATGCTATGTGCACGCAAGATACAGAATATGTAAATCAAAACTATAATTCAAATCAGTGATAGTCCCTTAATTTTTCATTTTAATTTGGGTTTTTACCCTGTTCTAAACACAGAAATAACTTTCTCTGGACTGTGTCATTTCTAAATTAAGCTTATCATACGACTTACGTAATAATAAAGACGCAACAAATTTTGAATTTAACTCAAAATTTCGAGAACCAAAACCTTTCTCTTAATAAGCTGCCATACTAGACAACTGTGCACTTTGCTTCTACCTTTGTTCTAATTAAAATGCTAATTGCTGCTTTTTTCTCATTGCAATATTAAAAATGAAAAAAGTTATATAAAGTTAAAAAAATAAGTACATTAGAGTGTCAAGTGTATTGTGGCAGCAAATGCCAATTGAAATAAAAAGGAATATTTAATCTGCCTCAGCTGCTAAACCCTTCACTATACTTCACTTGCCCTTCACTATGGATCAACATCTACAAAAAAATATTTCTACATCAACACTTTAAATATTTTCTAAGTCATATTTATCTAATTCAGCTTCACTACAATCTAGTCGACAGTCCAATAATTCAATTGCAGGTACACGAATAGAAAATTCATCTATAGGATTGCATAAAGTATGTTAATGACAAAAAATGAAGATTTGCTATACAGATAACTAATTTTATTTATTATATCCACAAGAAATGCTGCACTTGATGCATTCAATATCCAGAAGTGAAAAAAATCAGAACATCAAAAATTAATCCACCAGAGAATTTATATTAAATATGATTTAATGAGTATTTTCAAGGAATGTTCTAAATTATTTCAACTATGCATTACCAGTGTGTCATTAACCATTAACCTCTGTTTAAAGAATATGCTTCAAGTTTGTGTGCAATAAATTAACTTTCACTTCCTATCTGCATTGTTAATATTATGTTCATCAGTCGAAAAACTCTCATAGTGCTATGGATTTAAAAATTTTAAGACAAGTTTTATATGAATAAAGTAAGGTTTTAATAAGTGCAGCTATAATTTTGTACAGTATAATTATATGGAAATAGTTCAGTATTATTATTTTGAAATTTTAAGTATGTAATGCTATATTTCTTCTTATACTGAACTTTAGAAAATGCTACGGTGCATAATGAATATAATATAGATAGAAATTTTATAACATTAGTAATTTATTTTTATGTATTTTGATGAAAAAAAAATAAGTAATGAATTTAAAGATTTGCAATTATTTTATTTAGGAAAGGTTATTAAAAATTAACTGGCAATAATTGACAATTTGGATTATTATTTTAAGAATGAGCTAAACATAAGAAATGAATGAAATAATTTTGAAAAACTGGTATAGAATATGGTAAACAAATAGCATTTTTAGTATAAATACTGAGTATCGTTAGGATAAATTATGAATATTACTGATTTCAGAAATTGTATAATTACAATAAAATTGATGAGTAAAATTTAAAAATTGTATAAAAAAGTAGCTTGAAATTAGAGTAAATAATATTAAAATTTATGGATAATTGTATGTTAAGTATAGACGACATTGAGGATGTACTGGTTCAGAAACAGAGGCCTCTCTGTACAATTGCTCCTTTAACCCTCCTTACACAAGATAATTTTGAAGGTTCTCATTTTATGATTGAGCGTAATTTTTTTATATATTATTACCTTTTATTTATTTATTTACTTTATGGAATGTATTAGTGCAGATCTCGAAGACCAATTACTTTGTACAGGGAATGGAGGCTTTTTTATGCAACTGTCAATAATAACCTTGGCCATTGGTGCAGTATACATCAGTTAGTTCAGGTGGATAAGTCCAATTAATGAAAATGTTTATTTACAGCACCTTCCATTTTGCTAAATAGGGAATTGCAAATGAAAGATAATAGCAGTGAAATCATGATTTCAGCAATATTACAACTGTATTTATGATGTTAAAAAGTATATTTTAAATATGGAAATTAGTGTTATAAAACTTTGAAATTTCTTGTGATTATACAAATTAAGTAATGGATGTATAAAATTTTTATATTTGTAATATTGTGTGAAAAATTTTGAAAAGCCTCACTGAACAAATATGAATATGTGGACTTAAAACAGAAAAATTTTTGGACTGAAAATTTAATAGGACTCTAAAATATTATCAAAGTTTATATTTTGTGATTATTTAAATAATTATTTTCGTTAAAATTTTATGATTTGTATTTTTAAAATTATGTTTATCTTCATTGCTAATGCTTTTATGTTAAATCTTTTAAATCTTTTCTGTCAGAAAGCCTTTTTCTCTTTGAAGGGGAAAATATGCAAGATGAAAAATATGTAAATCAATATTATAACTTATTTAGCAATAACCCCTTCTCATTTTAATGTGGGTAATTCCTCTCTCTTATTCTAAAAAGAGTAACAAGAATTGTTTTAACATTGTCTGGACTGCACTATTACTAGATTAGTCCTATCATATGACTTACATAATGATGAAGATGCAACAAATTTGGATCTCAAAATTTCAAGAAACGAAACCTTTCCGTAAATAAGCTGCCATAATCAATAACTGTGGACTTTGCTTCTATCTCTGTTCTCGCTATGGCCTGCTTACTTCTTTTCTTCCAATCACAACAAAATCAAAAATGTAAAATATTTTATATAAGCACATTAGAGAGTCAACAGTATTGTGGCCGCAGATGTCAAATGAAACAAAAAGGAATATTCAATCTGGAATTAATATACAGGAATATTTAATATGCATATATTTATTAATTTAATTACTATATCTGCTGGAATACAATAATAATTGAATATTTAAATTGCTTCATTATGGATCAACATCTGTGCAATCAATGTTTCCTCCAACATTATTATACATATAGTTGTAATGAAAGTTTTCCACCAAAAAAGTTCTTAATAAAGTTTTTTAAAAAAAATGAAAGCAGTATCTTTAGTGCGGATAATAATCACCACCCAAATCTATGATTTTCTGCCAATGTTTTGGTAGCTTTTCAAAGCCTTCAGTCCCGAAACTTGGTGGCCACGAGTCTAAAACCAGATTAACCTCATTTCGGATGTCCTGTGCTGAATGGAAAATAGCACCAGCAAGATGCAGGTGTGAATAAAAGGTAGAGAAGTCCAAAGAAGCAATGTCGAGACTATATGGGGGGTGGCAAAAGATCCCATTTGAGTCTGTGCAGAGTCCAACCAATGAATGCAGACACGTGGTCTTCCACTATCTTGATGGAACATTGCCTTCTTGTGTCGGAACCAAGGCTGGGAAGTTGGGCAGATTTTGGGGTAACAGGAGTCGGAGCTGGAGTCGCTAAAAGCGGCTCCGACTCCAGTTTTTGATGGACAGTTTGAATTTGAAATAAAATTAAAATTAATTGAAAAAAATATTGACAACCTGAGTTATTACTTTTATTTATGGACTATATACATTAATAAATATCTTCTATTTTATTGACGTATCAATAAATAAATATGAGAGGATGGATGTGATATTTGGCATTAGTGATTAAACTGATTCATTTAGTTACACATCTCACTGGTAAATTTAGGCAAGCAGCAAGAACTCCCAAAACTGATGACATTCTTAGGAAGTGAGCAGGAAAAGGAGCAATCATTGATCAAGCAATGTGATAAGGAAGTACATATTTGATGATAAAGAGGTTGTTAGAATCAAGAACCTCTTTAGAAGATGTAGATAACCCTAATGTTTCACTAACAGAAAGACTGTGGAATGATCTTGCAGAATTGGAAACTCTTCTTTCTACACCATATATAACCACAAAAAAAGCTGCAATCTGAAGAACTGACAGAAGGCAAGAATGGAAGAATGTGATGTTTGTTCTTTCTGAAATGGAGAGCTTATTGCAGAATTAATCATTTCTTCAATGAAGAAAAGAGAAACTAGTTTGCTAGACAACGAGACCTTGCTGGGTTCAATATACGGAGATCCAAAACACCAAATTTTCTTAGGTGTCAAACAAATTAATAAGGCAAAGAAAGCCATCTATGAACTATCATTAAGAACGAAATTATTCTTAGAACAATTGGAGAATTCGAATCAGAACAGTCAAACTGCAGACATTGCAATTGAGTCCCTATCATCCTCTTCCAGTGATGAATTAGATTTTGAGAAATATTTTTGGATAATATTGAAAAGGCTAAGGCAAAGTGAATGAAAATAAAGAACCAAGAGCCTTTAGATATAAAAATGAACAAATACAAACAAGATTTCTACATGACCTTTGAAGATACAGAAAAATATGATTGCGCTTTCAAGACACCTCTTTTAGAACTTCTAAAAATCTATCCTGAAAAGTTAAAAGAAGTAGCTCTAACAGTAACAGCAATTCCTCCTACTCAAGTTAGTGTGGAACGACTCTTC